TTGTTATTTATTACTATTATCATTATTACTATTATTAATACATGTAGTAGCATTGTTATTATTGTTATTTCCATTGTTATTATTATTACTATTATTATTATTATTAATATTATTATCATTATTATTGTCAATATATCTTGTTGGTCTTGTTGCTCACAGTGAATCAACCCTACAAGCAATGATGGACCGCCTATAAACAGCATGCAAGGTCTTTAGCTTGGTCATCAGTGTTAAGAAAACTGTCATCCTTACCCAAGAAGGTACAGAGCAGAACCATATATTTCTGAACGACAGGGAACTGGAGACAGTGGACAAGTTATGTTACCTGGGGTCTACCATCAGCTCTACTACATCGCTTGATTATGAGACCAACATCAGGATAGGGAAAGCAGCAACAACATTTGGAAGGCTGACAAAACGTGAATGGGAAAAATAAAAGATTAACCATCAAAACAAAAATCAAGATTTACGAAGCATGTGTCCTCAGCACACTCCTTTATGGATCTGAAACATGGACTTTGTACAGAAGGCAAGAAAGGCGCCTCGACATTTTCCATCTCAGATGCTGCGACAAGATCTAAGGCATTTCGTGGCAAGGTTACAAATGTTGCAGTGTTGGCACGGGCAAAACCCCAGAGCATGACAATTACTATCCTGAGTTTGAAAAGATTAAGATGGCTTGGCCATGTCAAGAGAATAGACGACAACCGGATTCCGAAGCAACTTCTCTATGGAGAACTTGCCCAGGTACAAAGACACCTGCAAAAACAGCTTATCTAAGCTTGGAGTAGATGTTAGCATCAGGGAAGAAATAGCTGAGGACAGGAACACAAGGAGGAAAATGATAAAGGAAAAAAATATAATGCTAGAGAGCAGCCTTAGAAACAACTACGCTGAGAAGCTCCAACGACGAAAGGAAAACAGCGGAAATACAGAGATTCGGTCCACGTCACTGACTTTCAAGCACTGAGACAGAATCTGCACTTCAAACTTAGGAAGAATTAGCCGAGAAAGAAGCTGCATGAAGACAACCTGAAGACCATCGTAAGCTAAATTGACCGTCTGCATAGACGAAAAGATTATTATTTTATTTTATTTTTTTCGATTTATTTTTCAACTATTATTATTATTATTATTATTATTATTATTATTATTATTATTATTATTATTATTATTATTATTATTATTATTATTATTATTATTGTTATTATTATTATTGTTAGTAGTAGTAGTAGTAGTAGTAATAGTAGTAGTAGTAGTAGTAGTAGTAGTAGTAGTAGTAGTAGTAGTAGTAGTAGTAGTAGTAGTAGTAGTAGTAGTAGTAGTAGTAGTAGTAGTAGTAGTAGTAGTGTCATTTTTGTTGTTGTTCTTATTGTTGTTATTGTTGATGATGATGTTGTCGAAGACCAGTTTGTGCGATCTAAGTCTCTGTAACTTGGATATTGACCCGCCTCGCCAGAGAACAGATTTTGAGACATGCTTGAGCCTGCAGTCTGTCCTTGTCAGCTGGTGCAATGGTGGAATATAAGAAGAGAAGCAACAAATAATCAGAATCAGAAACATGGGAAAAGGAGTGGGGGTGGTGGTTTAACGAAGTAGATAGTCTCTTGAAATGTGATTAAAATGCTTTGTCGTATTCAGTCACACACTTATTATTAGGAAGGACACATTTATTATCTATACGTGTTGTACGTTAGATCTGAGGAAAATGTAGGTACATTTGAAACTCTCTCTGATTCGAACAAAATAATAAGGGGACGCTGTTCCCATTTGTAGACACTTCACACTAACGCTATAGACTGCCAACTTTATCAGAACAGACAGCCAACTTTATTAGAAAGTTATATTGTGTTGTCGACATTGTTTTGGTTTGTGCATTTCCCTGTTCAATGGCTCGTACGAATCCGAGTATGTTATTTCCAAAGATTACATCACTTACCAGATGTCGTAAAAGACACAGACAATGCCTGGATGCCGACTGACTATCCATGCAAATGTTTATGGCTTTCAAAAATGTATTAATAAACCTTATACAGCGACAAAAACTCATGTCAATGACTTCCACCTTTTTTTAAAAGGCATTGGGCTGAAGCGTACATTCTAAAAGGTTACTGGCTTAACAACAACAGCAATCTGTATTTAGATGTTGAGTGTTCCAATATTAGTGAAATGTGTCAGTTATCTTTATGAGTATACCTTAACAGTACCTCAACGATGTTTACAAACTATAATTATACGGTAAGCCTATTTTCCACTGTAGACGCCGAGGTGTTATATGAAAGCCGTCTTTTGCCTGTGGTGAGTGCCTCATGGTACAAGCGCATTGTTAGCCAGCGATGAAAGGACTGAAGACAGCAAGCAGTCTGCTACACCAGGGAGAACTCCACAGACAGCCCCGGGACACTAATGAATACTGAAAAGTGTTCTAGAGGCCACCCGTTAGGACGAACATCTGCTCAGCTAACAGAAAAGACTTCAGCAATTTGTCAAACCCAAATTAAGGTTTTGCACTTCAAGTCACCACACGCAGTGTTTCGACTGGGTATTGAACATTAAAATTTTTTGATGATAATATCTCTCATCTCTTTTGAGAAAATTGCGTTTCAAAAGTATTAATATTGCCAGCTCCTATTTGCATGTGACTGAAGAGGAACCGGTCTCTTTGTTCAAGTTGTTATAGATTTTTGTGTTAGCTTTCACATATAAATGATGTTTCAATCAGTATAGAGTTTGAAGTGAACGTGAAACCCCCCCCACGGATAACAAATGAGCGCCCTATGAAAGAGAGTACCGAGTATTTAGTGTCTTCCCTTTTTCCTCTATGTTTTATTTTTCAAGAACTAAAAGTGTGGACAGGTTGGTCTCACCAAATATGGAATTCCTAGATTTGATTCCCACGTTAGGAAGGCATTTTATCCAATTTTACAACATTTCTGCTAAGTTGCACACCACAAAGGCTGATTTAGACTTCTCTGGCCAGGACGAGCACTCAGCCTCATTAAAGCACTTTACTTAACCAACGTTTTATGACTTTCAAACAAACAGTAAGGCACTGCTTTGAGGTGAAAGTGCCAATAATGGGAACAGAACATATTGTCATCTCACTCGGATTCGAAACCAAGCATTCGATGCATGTATCAGTTTCCTGGTCAACATTTAAAATTTATAGGTTCCCTCGGATTGGACCCGACATGATCAAATTCATGTTGACAGGGGCGTAAAACATTTGCAATCCAAAAGATCAAAAATGCTGACAAACACCCCAGTTCGTAAGACAAAGAAATCATCCCAGCCGAAGAGAGAAGAATTAGGGCCCAACCACAAGCGTAACAAGCTCGCAAACTAGCGGCGTAAGGACAAAGTAAGGAACACCCCTCCCCCTTCCCCCAAATCTCGCACGCACGACGGGTCAAACATGCATTCAGGTTAATTGATGAGTGTGGTTTATTAGAGGGCGGGGTCCGGCTCATTGGTGGCTAGGTGGCGTTGAAGACTTTTGATGTGCTGCTGGCGACGAGCTGGTGACAAAACAACCATTAACATGACGAATTAGTTTTGCCACTTTCACGGGTCACCGACTTGATTCGCGGTTGTTGACAACCAAAATCTCAGCTCATCCCCTCCATCATCAATAACCTTTTCTGCTGTGTCCATTAAGTCCTAACGTCGTCTACGGGTGTACAAAATCTATCTATCTATCTATCTATCTATCTATCTATCTATCTATCTATCTATTTATCTATCTATCTATCTATCTATCCACTTATCTATCATATCTATTTATTTGTCTGTCTGTCTGTCTGACTGTCTGTCTGTCTGTCTGTCTGTCTGTCTGTCTGTCTGTCTGTTTGCCTGTCTGTCTGTCTGTCTGTCTGTCTGTCTGTATGTCTATCTATCTATTATAAAAATAATCTATGTTTCTCGTAAACCCGTCAACATGATTTTGCATGCGAAGCGACATAGATGGAAGGGCTAACTCCTGTAAATAGTGAGAAGAAGAAGAAGAAGAAAAAGAAGAAGAAGAAGAAGAAGAAGAAGAAGAAGAAGAAGAAGAAGAAGAAGAAGAAGAAGAAGAAGAAGAAGAAGAAGAAGAAGAAGAAGAAGAAGAAGAAGAAGAAGAAGAAGAAGAAGAAGAAGAAGAAGAAAAAGAAGAAGAAGAAGAAGTAGAAGAAGAAGAAGAAAAAGAAGAAGAAGAATCCTGCGGAGGAGGAGGAGGAGGAGGAGGAGGAGGAGGAGGAGGAGGAGGAGGAGGAATAGGAGATGGAGGGAGAAAGGTTAGTGTAAAAGAAAGAAGAATAGACTGAGAAGCCAAAAGAACACAGGAAAAGACCCGATACATTGGCCACAAGATATGTGTTAGAGAATGGGTCTAAATAAGCCTGAATAGCCTGAATGTTTTTTTCATTATTACAGTAACAAAATTATACTGAATGTCGTTACGGAGGCGAGCAACCGAATAAAAGTATCAAATTATGAAAGTTTGAGGGTGGGGGTGGATTAGAACATATCAGGGTTTAATTATATAAATGAACTGGATAACATTATATTCTTCAAAACATATCAGGTAGCCTGTACGATGATGCACTCTCACATGACTGCCTAGCACTGCCCAAACAGAACTGAAATGTTACAGTAACCATTTTTAAGACTGTATAATAACATCACTTTACAACTTTCCAAAAATGATATGGATATAAAGTGAAAACACAGTTGGTATCCATTGTGCATATTGAACATGGCCCCAACAGCCAACAACAATACATATGGATGACTCAGCATAACAATTCCGACAAACTGGTTATTTCCCAAGAGAGGGATCTGTGATTCGAGATGAATCGGTTATCCGGAAAACTTTTTTTTGTGCAAAATCATTGTTCCGGCCTTTTCATTTTGAGCTGAATAATTATTAAAATATGCACGAACTTATTTCATTTAAAGTTGTTTCTTACTTTCGTTGGTATGACTCATTTTCTCTAAACAGTTTCATTGCGCATAAAATG